GGTCAACGCTGCCAAGTTCTACCGGCAGAAGTATTCAAAGTCCTCTTAGGGCTTGATGCGTTATGACTAAATGTTCAACAACATGACTCGATGAATTTATTGCGGTTATCTTAATGACCCTGATCTCAACGATCACAGAATTGGCGTTGCTCGCTGGCGACCTTCAAAAAGCGATATAGACCTGCAGCTTTCAACATGGCATAGCGGATCTACATTTTTTGATACCTTCTCAACCGGGTATCTTGCGGTAAAAAAAACAGTGCGGTCTTTGGAGCCGCTTTCAACCTGGCATAGCGGATGTACATTTTGATACCCTCTCAACCAGGTGTCGTAACAAACAGTGCGGTCTTCAGAACTGCAACTAGATAATCACAATTGAAGTGACATTTACCGGACCCAAATGTTTTCCTTTCTTCCGTCAGACCTCTAACCGGCATGAAGGGGTTTCGATGTTCGCTCGGTATCAAGAAGAGTTGCGACTTCCGTAATTCTGTGTATTCCTGGTCCAGGACCATGATTCTAATTCTTCCGAAAAGAAGAAGGAGCAGAGACACGGCAACCAGGAATTCTTTCTGCGATTCACTCCTTTTCTTCTATTAGACACGAAATCAGCATTGCAAGCCAATCCATATCAGCATTGACTATATTGCAAAGCCTTACAGTAATAATTTTGAAAGTTTCTTCATCACTGCTATATTCCCCTCTTTCTGTATCACTGCCGCTCACATCCATCCATGGCCCCTTTCAATTGTTGTAGCTTCCGGCGGGCCGTATCTCCAGAGCCTCAACCGGCCGTACTGACTGACATCTCGCGGACAGGAGAAAGATTCGCCTTATCAAGTCATACTCCGTCGCGAGCCGCGAGTCACGAGAATGTCTCAAATGCTCAACCCATTGCCGAAAGTCTTGCTTCAGCTACCAAAAACGACGTTGCCCATGAATTTTCCACAGCATCGGGAAATGACATGGCTCCAGCACATGGGACGGAATCAGGTGTTCATCGTAGGGGTAGTAATCGCCGGCTTCACGACGTTGCAAGCAAGGTTCGAAAAAGGATGTCACGCGATTCTGGCATGTCCAAGCGGAGTTCAAAGACGAGGCTGAATAGCAGCCTCAGCGAAGATGGATATCAACGGCGGGAAGAGCTGAAGCGTGCTCTTCATCAAAGGGTGCAAGAGGATATCGATGAAGGCAGCAAGATCAGTGACGGTAGCTACGATGAAGATGCAGTGCCGATCAAGACTCCTAGAGGCACTTGGGGTCGACATGAAGGCTCTATTCAAATCAGTCCAAAACACCTCAGCCACGCTATTAGAAGGTCAGAGTCTCCGTCAGCATATGCCGAGCTGGACCCGCGAACTCTGTCTCAAGTCTATGCGCCCAAGAACACCGCTGTGGCCCTTTCTCGAATGTTGGTCCAGAGAGGCAGCAACCTGGCAAGGGAGTCCGAGGGACAGGCCGTCGACTCAAAAGTCGAGAACGCCCGGAGAGCAAGTACTACGCAGAAGTACAACTTTAGTGACGACGATAGTCCCATACGAGTGCTAAAGACTCGATCACATTCACCCCTAGGTCGGTCGAATACTGTCTTACATATGCCATCTTCAACCAAGGCTCTGCAGATTGACGTGGCAAATCCCGAGTTCTTGAACACGCCCGGAGCATCATCAGCGCCAGATCTGCTGCCAATGTATCTCAAAACAGTCCGCGACTCAGCGGCCGGAGGAGACTGGCGGCTTTCGTTTGCCGATATTCGCCAAGGTGCTTCGTCAAACGAAGCGAACGAGACACACAGAAGCACCTTGCGTTCTGCGAGACTTCCAGGGGTCTACGACACCAGGATACGACCAGCTAGCGAGCAATTGCTTCACGGGACCTCAGGGTTATGGGGGCATCCAGTCCATCCCAAGCACAGCAATACCCACTTCACTACCGATACCCACACCAGCTCCCCAAGTGGACATTGTTGCATCCCTGGTAGCGAGGAGATGTCGTTTGGGGGTACGGATGGAAAAGGTTACAGCCCACCAACGTCTGAAGAAGCTGGATCTCTCGCCAGACAAAGGGGTCGCTCAGAAGGAAGTGACCCTGTCCATCTCTACAACATGCACATACCTCAACGCCTGGCATCTAGGCCTCTGCTGCCTTCCGTCTCTTTACCTCAATTGGAGCATCCCAGGCGGGATCGGAGTTATACGAGTGGCAGTAGTTCACGAATGTTTTCTGTTTTACCTCGAAGTCAAGTATCGAGCTCGATGTCCAGCGGTGGTAAGCAATTCAAGACTCCAGCAACTCACCCCACGTCTTCCTCGGTCTACAGTTCGGGAAGTTTGCCCCCCAGCCCACCAGACTCAAGACTGCATTTCCACAGCCTCTCAGACCGATTGTATCCACTCGAGGTGTTCCACCCCAGCGAAGAAATCATAAGTGTTCCTGCATCGAGGCCCAAGTCAGTCGATCTGGACAACCTTGAACGACGCACGGTAGAGACAAGCTATCACTCGAGCAATGAAAGCCTGATGAACCGCGAGCTTGCGGCAGCCGAGACACGCATCTCCCCAATGCCGAGGGCAAACACACTACCCAAAAACAGTCGGTTTAGGGAGGACTTGGAGCGGATCTCTGCCGAGTTGGCCCTCACAAACCCTCCACGACGTCGAGTCAGCAACCTTGATGGCGCTAGATCTCCTACTAAAGAAGATGCCACATCTATATGGGAGAGGGCGCTTCGGGAACATTCGCAGGAAGACAAAGCTATTTCGCACACCAGGATTGGAAGTACGTCCCCAGATTCGGTTGAGCCAAGACAGCTTGACCCCAAGACAGTAGCCTCAATTGAACAAAAGGCTCGGAAACGTTCATCCTTTCTGCGTACAAAGGACCGCCGAGTACCAGAACCATTGGAAGGAGCGCATCTACAAGCACATTTGGGCGCATACGCTCTGCCTCCACGGAGAGCAAATACTCGCAAAAGGCCCACGCGCGAAGGTATTCAGAAATCTCCCTCTACGATTCGAGCATCATCGTGGGCACGCTACCCATCCCACACTCGCCCTGAGCGGTCTACATCTCCGGCTGGAGAATCAGACCAAGTGTATTCCCGTGACTTCGCCATTACCCCGCCAGGCACTGAGCCTAAAGTCTCTTCAGAACACGGATCCTCTCCCTTAAGCAACGGCAAGAAATGGAAGACAAACCGTATGACTTTCGGCAAGCAATTACTTTCGACCATAAGCAACCTCTACAAAAGCCAGAGCCAGGAGTTGCAGAGACGCCTTGCCGATGAGGCTCGTGGCAACCGCTCGAGTATTTCCGAGGGTGGTGGGTTGGAGTATCCCGAATTAGAAATGCTGGGTAGTCTCTCGCCACCAATGCCGTCGCCCGATATTACCACAAAGCTCCAGTTGGAAGATCACGTCAGAAAGGCAAGTGAGCCGCCGAGCGACACGCAGACGCGCGGTCCTCAGTCAGGCCAAGTATCGAGAAAACAGTCGCAGGACTGGGCGAGGGAATACCAAGATTGTATCCAGCCTCAATCGGGACGACCGATTGAGCTTTACATCCACCCCGAAAGCCCACCCTTCAATCCAAGGGATTATGACACCAAATGGCCAACGGAGTTTTCTGACGAAGCCTTGGAAGAAGCGTCTGTTCCACCCCGCAGGGCCAGTGAAACCATTGGTCCCAATGATACGCCGGCAGAGGGATCGGGCTCTCCTGATGGGAAAGCTGATACGCTGGACGAGTGGAAAGCGAGGGAAAGGATCAGGTTGCTAGGCCTTGAGACCGGAGAGGGCGTCCGGGAATAGGAGCCGGATGAGTCGGTCCAGCGTGAGGGAGGTGTTGTGCTAAGGTTTCCGGGCATTCTCCGTCGTTGATATTACTTCCCCGTCGTTGAATCACTTCTCACCAGCGTCAGTAGCTGTATCTTGTATCGTCACGCGCATAGCATACTTCGATAGGATCATGAATGGATTCATCGTTTCAGTGGAAGCATACTTCGATAGCATCATGAATGGATTCATCGTTTCATTTCAGTGGAAGCATCCTTCGATAGCATCACGAATGCATTCATCGTTTCAGTGGAAGTATACTTCGATAGCATCATGAATGGATTCATCGTTTCAGTGGAAGCATACTTCGATAGGATCATAAATGGATTTATTATTTCAGTGGAAGCATACTTCGATAGAATCATAAATGGACTCATTATTTCAGTGAAAGCATACTTCGATAGGATCATGAATGGATTCATCATTTTAGTGGAAGCATACCGCGACGCCGTACGGATTGGAGAAATCCGAGTCGGATACGAGCAGAGTGGACTTTGTCCGCCGGGGAAATGAAAGTGCGATAATTGAGATACTCGTGCGTTCCAGAAGTGAGCTACCTGATAGAGCGAGGACACCAATGAATCTTGTTACTTGGTGGGATGTCGCTCGATCTATCGGTGTCCTCGCTCTATTAATAAGTAGCTCACTTCTGGAACGCACGAGATACATTCGTTATCGTTTGAAACATGGATGATGTCCTCGATGGACGCGAGGGTTTTTTCCCATTCCCATGTGGGGAATCGGATCGAGTGCGTTCTTCTTCTGCTCCCCGAAGTGAAGGCACCGGATGGTCGATGAGATAGAGAAAAAAATTTAAAGAAAAAGAGGGGGGGGGGAAGTGTTCTGCTATTCGGATCTTGCAAACTTCTGATTGAGACGTATCGAAGTGCTGACGATTGATTTTTAGATTTGTTTTTGGGGGAAGAATGGGTTCGACTGATAGATATCTATGCGGACAGGCATGGAACATGAATAGCGTTTGGGGGTATCGAATACGCAGTCCGATCGAAACAGATTCCGAAAAGTGCAAAGCCTTTCAAAGGAAGCAAGGAAGCAAGCAAAGCAATATGTACATGCTCGTCTCGTTGTCCATTACCGCTCTAGTGTGATATTCGACATGTGCAATCGCCAACCCTTTATTTCAAACCATCTGGTCCTCCTTCCATTTCACAGATTGCTCAATATCCTCTCAAGCTCCGCTTTCCTCGCGGGACGACCTGCTCCGTGGCTTTTGTCGTCATCATCGCCCATGAACCACGACTTCCTCTTCTCCGCCGCATCTGTATGAGCAGTACTCCGTGGTGCGCTTGTTCGTGCGTTTAACCCAGGTCTCACCCTCGGCTCAAGTCCAGACCTCAAACCCTTATCTTGCATCTTTCGCATCGGTGGAAATTGACCCCTGTATCCGGGGAAGAGCAATGGAATGGAGGGAGCGGAAGTTCTCGAGACGGACACTGGGATTGGCGGTTTGCCTTGGGTAGCTTCAGAGTAAAGAATGGCTTTGGGAGCGGGCGTTGATCGTAGGAATGAAAGTAGTGACATTCTGCTTTCTTTTTTGGGCATTCTAGCTTGGTATGATTCAGCAATGGCGTGGGATATGCGTCTGTTCAAGCCAATGGGTGGAGGAGCCGCGGAGTCGAAGGACGAGGCACGAGATGAGACCCGTCTATCACGTGAGACTGGTTTTCCAAGTCCTGGTTGACTGGCGCGAAAGGAGGCTGGCCCGGCAAGGGGGTTTTCGTAGCGAGGTGAGACTGGGGTTTCGAGTCCTAACTGGGTGGCACGAAAAATGGCCGGGCCGGCGTTGTGGTCCTCGTAAGGTAAGACATTAAAGTCAATCTCTGAAGGTAGAGACTCAAGATCTGCGTCCTCGAAGTATTCCCTGTCTCTAGACTGGCTGAACGACACCCGCCGGGGAGATGTCATTGTCTCACTAAAATTAGAGAAAGACACAGATTGGGGAGACATGGTTGCGTTGGTCGAAAATCTCCGTGGAGAAAACGTTGGAGAATGCAAAGCCGTGCCTTCTCTCGAGTTGGTCGGGGAATCCATAGCTGAAGAGGTTTCCGGTCTTGGAGGCTCGGAAGGGAGGTAAACAACCGACGAATTGGTCGATCGTAAAATGGATCGCTGTCGTGGAGGGCTGCGCCTTGCGCTACGTTGTGGGACTGGTGGAGGTCTTGTCCTTTGGAGTTCTTCCGCCCGTTGTGTCAGCGAGAAGCTTTTGCTCGAGTCCGGCGTCGCCGGGGGGGAAGGTGGGCGTTCAGGAGGAAATCCATGAGTTTCAATCAAGACGTTGTCGTAAGCGCCCTGGCTGGTGGGTAGTAGTATTCTGTGCTGCGAAGCAAATGTACCTGGAAGCGCTGAGGGCCGATCCCGGCGTGATCGAGGGCTATGCTCGAGCGACGTGCTCCTGGGAGTATATCTTTGAGCATTTGCTGAGTTCGTTTGACGTGAATTCAATCTCCCCGTGTATGATGATGACAGTTGAGGTGAATAGATCTGCGAATCAGTCGAAGGATTCCGAGTGTGCTCCGACTCTTGGATGAATTGTTCCAAAGATAGCTGCTGGGTGCTCAGAGAACGGCGAGGTTGGCGCTCTTGTGCAGTGTTCGGATCAATGGATTGTCTCCGGCTGTGCTGTGTTTCCTTGATACACTGATTCAGAGATAATTGCCGAGGGCCCAAAAGAGGTGGATTTTGGCGATCTCTTGCATTTTGTGAATCAATCGACTGTCTCCGGCCGTGGACTGATCCCTGCGTAATCTGGGGTCGACGCCCAGAAGAGGAGTGCTGCGTCCCCCAAGAGGGGCGACGTTGGTGGTCTGATGTTAGAGAAGACGACTGCAATCGCTGTATATCCAATGAAGGACGAACCTGGTCATCCTGGGATGGAGTAAGCAAGGCGGAGCGGGCTTTCACGGAGGAACCACCTCGACGGTCTTCTGTCGCAGCAGGAGTTGACTGTGAGCCCTGCGTTGCTATGGAGAAGTAATCTTGGAGTTCTCGAGCAGAGGGAAACAAAGGCGAATTCTGCGTCCCAAAAGGAGAATGGGCTTGACGACTTTGTAAGAGCGTGGGCGAAGCTAGGGCCTGAGTCTTCTGTACGAAGTTTTGTCGGCGGTCTCGTGTTGGAGAAGGCAAATAGGCACGCTGAGTCTCCGATGGAAAGCGCCCTTGGCGGTCTTCTGTGAATATAGGAGGTGGGGAAGTCTCCGGGAACCCCATCGAGAATACATGTTGGCGCTCTTCTGTGAATGAAGGAGGCGTGGGATAGGACTCATGTGTCTCTACAGAGATTAGGTCTTGGCGTTCCCGTGTGGGTGGAGGCGAGATGGTGGCCTCGGGAGCATATATCTGTGTTTCGACAGAGGAGCTTTTGTGGTGCAAAGATGGCCTAGGGTTTCCAGGACGAAGGGGAAAAGGAGTCCCTAGACGAAGCCGCTCTAGGGATGAAGACTCGGAATTGGGACGGTGTGGAGAGGATAGTTCGTAATGTGGATGCTCTGAAAGCGTAGGCTCGAACTCGGGAGGTGGCGAAGGCCGGGTTTCTATTCGAAAACCGAAGGGAGACTCGAGGCGAAGCTGGTCTGAGGGTGGACGTGACGGTTCGGAAGACGTGGACTCGAATCGGGGAGGGTCTGAAGGTGTTGATTGGAAAGATGGAGGACGTTTACGGGTAGAAGTCCTGTAATCGTACGAAGGCTCTGGTTCGGGGTCAGGCTCGAGACGGAGATAATCCGAATACACACAGCGTTGAGTCGAGTAGTTTGAGGAAGAGCGAATTGACGATGCAGTGGAGTGAATATGGGATCTGGAATTGCGTGCAGGGGGAGTCTTCAAGGACAGAGGGCGATCGGTGTTGTTGATGATGCCCCGATACTGTTGTTGAGAGAGAACAAGTCCATGTGAATACTTGTTAGGCATGGTGAGTGAAAAGAGAAGGAAGAAGGAAGAAGGAAGCCGGAAGGAGATTGGAAAGTTGGTTTCGACGCCTACAGCGAACCCTTTAAGGAAGGAAGGAAGTCAAGATGCAAGAGTTGGACCCTACGGAGCTGTCTTGCGCGTGTCACAGCTCGCTTACATGCATCAACATAGTTCGTGCATGAACAGTGCTGCAATCGAAGGTTCTCATGTCGGACAAACTGCTGTAGCCTGTCAGTCAGAGTCAGACTGACTTCCCGGCCAGGAGTTGATGAAGCGCTTCGGCGAGAATGAAAAGATTGGTGGGATTGTTCGCTGACCGAATACGTATTATCATTTGACGGTAAATTATTATAAAGGTAGTCAATTGTTAGTTGACATTATGATTTTCTAGGGGTTCTAAGGATTGCGGATTCATTATTATTATTATCATGATTGTTGTAGTATTTTCATTGCTACAGGGATGTCCTTTGGCGTCATGATTGAGTTATTCATCTGCCGAGGTCGCCTCGCCGCGAACTAAATAGGGGGATTATAGAGTACGTAGGTAGGCTCCGATTCGTCCAGTGCATGAGATCGATCTTCTGCCATCCAATCGTTAAAGTACATGAACGCTCGGCATTTCAGACAACATGGAATCATCCTAATTCATAACCGATCTTACCTTGTTCATGTTTGAGCCTCTGCTGTTTCGACACGAGTTGTGGATTCTAACATTACTCTACCTATTCCACAATCTCACGTTTCACCAACCTTGTTGGTCATCGCGCATTCCGGAGCCTCGTCGACCTAGCTTAGACGACCTGTTGGACCTTTACGATAGTGGTGCCAAAGTAGTTGGTGCACCTTATGATTATTGACCAACCTGTTGTATCCTTCAAAAAAGCCTAAAATAATTCATTGGATCTTAATATCGCCATGGAGCTTCACATCTCTGAACACGACGAAGCTGGTAGAGATATAGCAGCCTACGTCTCCTCCAAAAGCAGCGACAGGATCGAATGCATCGTATGCCTAGTTGAATCACTCCCAGGGCATCAGGCTGACCACGACTTGATTACAAAATCTAGAAGACAAAGGAGCAAAGCAGTCTATGGATGCGGCTACTCGACGTGTTTTTGCCGGCGGGCTATCCTCACAGCGTGACCCGTGATTACATGTGGTACGTATTGCGCTCTCTGCTGTCTTGGAGAGCTGTTGAAAGAGGAGTTGAGACCCCCAAAATTTCTGCTCCAATTCTGGGTATAAGCACGGAATAGCGCTTTATTCGTGGTTAGATGTTTCAAAAGCGAGAAGCTGAACATCGCAAAAAGCTCCTCGTTGATGTTGATTTGGTCGGGCTTTTGGGGATTCGTACCCTTTGGACTCCCACTTCATGGTCCCTAGCCTAAAATCAACAGATACGGGTTGGCTAACGGCTTCGGGACAGGTACCAGATCTACGTATGGTTGCCTTCTCACGATCTCTTGCCATTGCTGTCTGGGCTGTTGTTTATCGTTCTACAGGATTCTCTACAAGCCTTCTCAAGTTCCATTGCCGGACTGCTTGCTTCTAGGGCTGTGCTTCAAGGTGAGACACTCCAAAGCTCCGATCATACGGAATTGATCATTGTTACGTTGGGGGTGTGACAGCGACCAACATGATTTTTAGGCGTCGGGGTCGGTGATGCCTCGGCGTCACCAACATCTGCCCTTCTCCTCTCTGTGGTCCAAGAGAGCATGGGCCGAATAGCAACCATTCTCTTCGCCCACAGGCTCGGTACCTCGCTCGAGCCTGAATGCAAAATGTACAGGCTTGCCGCGGATGTCTTCAATGACACGGCTATGATTTTTGACTGCCTCTCCCCTGCACTGCCTAAAGCGCTAAGGGTAACTTTACTCAGCTTCTCAAGCGTCTTGAGGGCGTTGTGTGGGGTTGCTGCCGGCAGTTCCAAGGCTAGTTTGAGTGCTCATTTCGCAAAATGGGGCAATCTAGGAGAATTGAACGCAGTGAGTCCGCCATTTTCCTTCCGGGGCGGGTGGCCAGTCATCAAAGGGGAGGGAAGACCATCTCGTGTGTTTACAACCCCCGATTTCGTGCAGCCTTGGCTACGACCTACGGGGTTGCTTGTCGCGCATAGCAGCCAGAACCATCACTAACGGTCAAGCAGAAGGACTCGAGCCAAGAAACCATAATCTCGCTCATGGGGTACGTACATTCCGATGTCATTGCGTCCCAGTTGGCGCCAAAATCCTGATCTCAAGCCAAGCCAAGCCCAGCGGGCAGAACTGGAGGATCTTTTCCTTCTTTGTGCTCCCTGAAACTGTCCTCTGAACTGAAGTCTTGTTTGAAATTGGATTTGCTGACTCCCAGATTTTCGCAGGATGCTGGTGGGTACAGGTCTGCGCTTTATTCGTGCCGACGGCTACTTACCGACATGTAGGCTGGCAGTATCGTAGTCTCATACGTATCATCTCCAATAGCCACCTGGTCATGTCTCATTGTGCTCCTCTCGATACACTTGGCTATGAATCACGCTGCAGTCAGAGCAGTCAGCTTGCATAGCCTCAACCGCCAGAGAGCCAATATAGTTCTGTCCAACCTGCTGGTGGATAACAAGGTGATGACACCCGAGGAGGTATCGTCTCAAGAACGCATTTTCGAATGGGATGGCGCCCTGCGATGGCGAGGCTCATCACCCTTCGCCAAAGCTACCATAGGTGTCAATTTGCTCAGCCTGCTGAAGACTTTGGCGCCTGCGCACACTGTGACGGGCGCTATACGCGACGGCGATCTTATCTTAGAGAGATTGGTCAGAATCTACAGCCATGAGGATTTTCTAGTATGGTATGATTCGCCCAAGAGGTCAGTATATATTGTTCTCAAAGGTCAAGCTTCGGCCAAAGCACAACTGAAAGCTTGGGCACTAGCACTTTGGGGTGCTCACCGCTTTGGAAAGCAATATGCGACAGGCGCAAATACAGAAAATTTACTTCAGCTGCTCGAAATGACATTGAGGGACATTTCTAACCGATGGGATGATTCCATCGAGCGAATTAGAGCCGCTGGATGGGATATTGACATTGCAAATTTGGAGACTTCATCCGGGTCGCGCATACGTGTCACCACAGAAAGCCTGCAAACAATGTCAAAAAAGAAAGATTGATCAGGGCGCGGATGAGGTAGAAGACATGGACTGGTCTGCGAAGGCAGTCGGCCTCAGTGTATAGCCGCCGACCAGGTAACTGGGTTGGTGGATTTAAAGCAGTTTGGCATGAAGCATCAATAAGATGATGGAGATCATGCGGCTCCGATCATAGAACTTATCCTCCTCCCTGATAAAGATCTTATCCGTGCCGGTACTCCGTACACGGGGTCCGTAGCCTGATCAGGACATAGGCGACAATGCGTTGGCATGTATAAGCGCAGCCTCAAATCGAAGCGAGTGAGCCTGGAAGACCTGTGTTGCTGCTGCGAAAAGAAATCTTCCGGAGTCCGGACGTTTCCTCAATCCCCAGGGCTCGAAAGTCGAAATCAATGGATGACGGATGATGTAAGCCAAGAGAAAATTGAAAATGAGGGTGGAGTCATTAGAGGCGCGCGTGCTGAACATGCTACTGAGGTACATTTATGCGCAACAATTAGATGTCGTCTCCCACGCTGATCATCCAGCCTAGCTGACGCTATCTATAACTGGTCGTGGGCTGTGAAAGTGAATAATGCAGCATATTGGCGAACCCTGTAAAGCGGCGGCTTCTGGCCGTAGTATGTCCTCCAATCAAGAGCGATTCCCTTAGGGCTGTTTACACCCGTCACCCCTGTTCTTCTTCTGACTCAAGAGAAAGCGTGGGATTTCGGCTTAACGACGGCACTGGCCAACAAATTCTCCGAAACGTTTGGACCAAAGAGGCGATGGGTCGGAGAGGCGTCCCTCTACCTCGTACCAAAGCGAGTATCGGGCGAGTATCACCGTCTTTCAAAGCCATCCACTGTCGCGAATAACAATATCTTTAGCCGAGTCGCACGTCGCTTAGGGTGGCTTGTGCTTCACACTGGAGCGATTCGAGTCATGGATTCTGCCTTCTCTTTTTGCTGTTGCCTTACTCACCATTCCTCACTAGCGTCTCATCTGAGTTTGCTTCTCGTCTGTTTGCCGCCGAGGCCCAAGACTTGGAGTCTCGCTAGCAAAGACGGACACGGAAGATTTGGTCTGTTTTTGTCGCATAAGTACGGAGGTGAAGACGGCATGATGGGGAAGAAGATTTAGAGTAAGGCTTAGTAATTCGAGAAGACAAGCATGTGTGTGATTTGTTGTGATTTGTTATAATTGAAAAATAAGGTTGTTCCACACCCCAAAGAAAAACCTTCTAGCGCTTAATTAGCGTAGATTTTAGTTACTTCCACTTACCTTAGTGAATCTGAACCCCTGCAATTCCTTGCGCCGCCGCTTCCCACTTATTAGCCCTTTCCCCGTTTCTTTTTGCTTCAATAATTGCTGTATTATTACAGTCATCTGTGTCGCGAGAAGACACTCCTTTCTTTTCACCATTCTCATTCCTCATCCTTGATTTCAACTTCTCTTGCTTGTGTCCACCCTCCTTACCGGTCTCCATAACGAGTAATCCGTGTCTCCTTCACTTCAGCCCTCAGAGTTTGCCGACAAGACAAAAACCCCGCAAGTCACCAATTCCGACGAGTTTGCTTCAAGTCCTGCAGGCTTCCGAACATTCCGTGTGCCTTGGACCTCCTGACTCACCAGGAAAAGAGAAGGGTTAGGCGTGAGAGGAATATTCCGGGTACTCGCTGTGTCTGGCCGAATACATCGAATCGATCAAGCCAATTTTCGTCATCTCACAGAGCAGCAAACTGCAAATAACAAAACCGCAAATCAGACCCAGCACTGAGCTTCCTATACCCGTCTCCCTCCTTTCAATGGTCCACGTAACATTCATCACTCCGAAAAACTTCCTCGAAGACTTCGAGGCCTCGTGTCAAGGTGGCTCGCCCAAACGTGTTATCCTCCTATAGACCGGGCCGAAGCCGCTCACAGAAAAGGAAGGCTTCAGCAAGCGAAAGAACAAGGTCCAAAATTAGGGACTGGAAACGAGCCATGATCCGCAGGAAACCTGAGACACCCCCGTCGTCATATCTCTCCACACCCCCACCAGAAACGTCACCTCGTTGTTCTATCGTCATCTCAGACTGGGACGCCGACGACGAAGACGCCATGTCTATAGAAGACATCAGATCATCTCGACCACCAAGTCTTGAAGCCAGCCTGCAAAATGAAGGGCCCTATCATCCTCAAAGACCAACCCTCCCAGATGTGCTCTCGAATTCCGCTCCACCACCATGGACGCTCAGCGCGTTCACCGCCTACCTCTCGCAAAATCATTGTCTGGAGAACTTGGAGTTTACAATGGATGCCGAACGGTATCGGAAAAGGTACGGTGCCTTGGCTGCACAGATGGCTGGCATGCCCATGACACCTGAGGTGGAAGAATGCCGGTACGTGAGGATGCTATGGCAGCGTTTGATCAACGCCTACATAATGCCAGACTGCCCTCGGGAAATCAACATTCCTAGCAGCGTGCGCGAGAGATTACTTCTACTCCCTAATCATTCAACGCCGCCGCAACCCGAAGATCTGGAGGCTGCAGTCAAGATCATCTACAACCTCATGGAAGAGTCAGTGTTAATCTCTTTCCTGAACGAGGTCCCATCATCCAGATCTCAACAACAGCAGCACCTCAGTCGGCAGAAGCCTGCCGAGGTCAAGCCTCGGAAACGAGGCGGCTCAGATAGCTCAAACGAGAAGAGTTCAATCAGGAGTAGATCTCGAAAACGAACATCTCCGACATCCTCGCTCGATGTCCCTTCGTCAGGGTCTAGAGATGACCCAACTGGTCGTCTGACCCCCATTCCTGGATTCACGAGAGGTAGTCGTGCACCGAGTCACACATCAAATGGTAGCGGAGATCCAGGGCTACTGGACGATGATTCTGCCAGTGTGTCAAGTCCGGGTAGAGAACCAATGACACCACCAAACTCACCTCCTTCGAGCGATTTCGGCGGACACAGTCCCAGAAATCGCAACGATAATACTTGGAAGAAGATGCTAGGATGGAAGAAGAAGTCCAGCACCGGGATGAGAGACGGTCGATTTCCAACCCTTGAAGATTGAGCATTGATGAGGAGCAAGATCTGACAACTCGATTCCCACCTTTCAACACCACCCACCAACACCATGCGGCGCCTTCATCACTCCCACCTTGGCCGCCAGCGCACCCGTCTCAACTCCTCACGTACCTTTTCTCTGAGTTTAGCGTACAGCGGCAAAATTATCTTTTCGTCCTCCACGGACACGGCATATGGAGGATCAACAAAAGGCGTCAGGACGGACCAGTCTCAGGCATTGACGGTTCGCCATCTACACTTCTAGTCCGTTATGTTACAAGCGCGGGCCGCCCATACAGCATTGCACTGGGCGTGGAGCAGCATAGCATTGCGTCTTCGCATACGATATACCTTTTGATTGTCTGCAGCGCTTCGATTGTAGATATTTGAGTTACCATCATGACGATCTTGAACGAAATATAGACATTGGGATATCCAGGCCCATCAACCATTGACTGCCATTCACCGTCATCTCCTACCACTTGCGTACTATCGCCTACTGCGCCGATCTCAACGTCTCGCTGACCGCTCCTATCCTCTAAGAATACTAAAATTTGGTGAATCGTGATATGATGGCATCTTATGATGGCATTTCTACTTTAATTCCGCTACTCATGCAAGTGCGGGTCGGAGAATTTTCGTTCCGCCGTTTTATTTCCAATCTCTCATTGTTACCCCCATGACCCCAGGCTGATCCTTAGCCTCCAATTCCTTGCCTTTAGGGCAGCGTCACTGCGGCGCCACTGCATTCAAATGCGGGGTTGATGGTCAGATAAGATTTTGGTGGCGAAACGCATTCACGTCCATGCGGTGAGACATTTGTCTCCAGCATTCTTGATGTTATTCGCACGTCAAACAGAGTGTGCGTTTGCTATCTGTCATATGCGACCCGACGGAGATCACTTTCTGACGGTCGCTTCTACGGGCCTTCTGGAAGATGCAAATGCTGGGGAAGATTATTACGCGCTCCAGTGTGCATGTGCTAACATGCAGCTGTCACGCTCCTGGTACTGACCCGGGCATCTTGACTACCTATAGACCATGGGTCTCAGAGACACTCGGACAATGCAACTGTACTACTACACGCTGCAACTCGTTGCTGTTACGTGACCTGTGTCAGAGCGAGCTTCTTTTCGGCTCCGTCTTGATCCGAGTGTCCCGGATTCAGTGGATGCTTGCACTTGATTTCCCCACGTTGACCGATGGAAGGATTTCCTGTGAGGAGCGCAAGAAATGCCGACGATGCGGTGGCATTACGGAAAAGCGTCCTCTGCATGTCGAAATTGTGCTCTTTTTCCAACCGTCTTCAATTGCTTGAAAGAAGGGGAATCCTACAGGCGTGCGTTTGCAGCTTCGCTAGTCCTGGTCTCGGGTATCTCGAGGGGCTCGAAGCCGGTGCTGGGACCATTTCCCCGCCCACTCATTGTCCGCTGCCCGGCGGTATCGTCGTGGTTCCACTCCTGTGCTTTCGTGTGTGCTTAACCCCACGCTCCACTTACTGCTAGGTAACATATGTTGAGGGAATTCACCCTGCAGACATGGGCTTGGGACTCTAATGCCTGCCTTGATTGCCAGGGGGATGGAAATGTCTCTGAGGGGTTTTTCTGAGCCATGGCCGTGATTCCAGGACGGAGTCCTCGCACCAGAGGCTTCATGGCGATTTGATGCGTATTGTGTCCATGGTAAGTACAGAGTACCTTGAAGGAGAAGCCACAAGTCTGGTAGATGCTGATCGTACTCTGCGTATCTGAATGGAGACGAGGGTCATGTCCAGAAATACCGGCCAAGCCAAAATTGCACCCTCTAAGTGTCCTCTGTCGGCTTACAGGAAATCTCTACAAAGATAAAAAATCTTATCGTTGAGATTGAAGATTCTACTGCCAAAGTTTGGATTTGTTTGCTACAGTGTGTGGTTAGGAATAAATTTTTGAAAAGTGCACGATATGGTATTTTGGGCGCGGCCGGTTTTCTAGAAATGAACCTCGAGATCACGTGCCGAATTCGGCACGGAGAAACTCGCTTGCCGATTGTTTGTAGATCTCTTGCGAAAGCTCTGCCTTCATTCACCCTGATCTTCCTCGACTCAGAGCCATGCACGCCGCATTGAGTCAGGTATACCTCCTCGATAACTTGAGACCTTTAAATGCGGCAATGCTAATTGATAGAGACACGTTCCAGGTTCATAGAAAATCAGCGACCTGGTCAACATGTCGACTCAAAAGACACGGCCAACGGAGAATAAACCGAGGAGGTCATCACGCCGCATCCAGGGCCTTGCACCGCTGATCGACACCCCGTTTCAGAGAACGGTGTACCTCCCGACCGAATTGAAGGTCGCTGTGCTTGCTCAGCTCGACAAACGGGACCTCAAGACCGTCAGACTGGTATCGAAGGAATGGAACGCATTGGCCACGACGCCTTTGTTCGATAGGGTTTATATATCGTGCCAGGCGAAGGATATGGAGGTTTTTAGGAATATCACGACGCATCCGGATATGAGCGCGGGTGTTAGGGAGCTTGTGTATGATGGCTCGCTCTTCAGAAAGGATATAGATTTCAAGAATTATTGCTACAAGGTCTATCGCCAAGTCCGTTGGATCGTGCCGCCGTGGGGGCCTGACACACCTTTCAAAAGCGTAGATGTTCAGATCAACAAATTCGTCCAGGATTACAGAGAGAAGAAATTTGGCTTTTCCAAGCTCTACAAGACCCACAAAATGGACACATTTCTCGTTGAAGGCTATCGGAAATACAGAGATCACTCTGCATTTGAGTATCACAGTATTGAAATGGGTTGGCTTTTCGATGACCTTTGCACGGGGCTCCGTTCCCTCAAAAATTTACGCTCGGTGGTACTCGGTCAGAAGATGTGGCACTACGACCTTGACCAGAGTAAGTACTTCGGAACCCCTGATCCCAACACCTTACATGGGCCATCTTCAGGCTCGCCTCTTTGCCGCAGCTGGAATCCATTTCATCTTCGCCCTCTTGGGTGGAAAGAGCTTCCAGACGTGGATGGTGGTCATTCTCATGTTTGTGCTCATTTTCATATGCTTACACGAGCGATATCCACAACCAACCAAAACATAACTTCCCTTCAGGTTCCAATGGACCACATAGGAGGAGGTCTCTCGCAGCAAGCGTTGATGAAATCCAATCTAAACGGCTGGGAGTTTTGGTACTTCATGACAGCGTACTCAGGTTTGAGCTGTCTTGATATCGAAATCACTACGAACAACTCTGATCAGCGAGACGCCTTGACTGTCCTTCCAGAACTCCTGGCGCACACGTTCGGGCTTAGACGATTGTCATTACACCTCTTCAAGGACGTCGACCAACCGCTTCTCCCTGCAGGTGTGAGTGAGTACTATCGTTACGATGAAATATTTCCGGCCATCGGTATCTGGCCGAAGCTGACAGAGCTTTCAATTTCGGGACTTGCAATCGGCGGCTGGGATCTAATGGTCCTGATCCTCGGGCGAGCGCGAGTCAGACGGCTTGCCTTATTTGGGATCGACCTGCTGGATGGTACTTGGGAAGGCGTTATTGAAGGAATGCGCCGCCGGCAACAATTGACCGAGCTGCATATGGACGGCGACTTCAGAAACTGTGGAGGCGCTATCTTTAGACCTCGCGGTCCAGAAGACAAACATACCGACTTCATGTGCCTCATAGATACCGAGGCTTATGTTGCCCGTGGTGGTCGACATCCGTGTCTCACCCAGGAGGGTGATCCTGATACTGCGATCTGGTGGTATTTCGACTTGATGCCAGAGAAATGGCTTGACGACCTGAAACTTATGACTCGCGAGTGTGACGAGTACACGGACGATCTGTTTCGCAATAGACAGTGATTATACTGAGTCCTTGGTTTCTGTTAGACCAAGGTCAGTTCCAGCTCGGTCTCTAGTGGCGGACTTCGGATACCAAAGGCCCCAGCTATGATCGGTGCAGTGGAGGGAACGGCGGTCAGCTGAACGGCGTAAGAAGGTCCCATGATCGGAGCTGACGGTGGCTTTGATGTCTCTGTAGACCCCAGTGACAACCGTCTTGGAACGAAAGGAACGCGAAAACGTTGGCTTTTGGTCAACAGACCTTCCGAACACTCCTGACATAGAAGCCATCTACCAAGCTGCCAGAAAAAGTACCGTGCTCCGTACTGCCATCGTACAGATTTCGTGCACTCATGGGTAAGAAGCCAAGAAAATCTGGCAATCGTTTATCAGAATCAGTGATCATATTGTCAACATTCAAGGGCTTTCTACCACTACAACTGCCACTTTTCTGGCAAGGCATCTGCCAACAGACTACCAAAGTTACCATTCAGGCGACCCAGAAGATGTTACGCGAAGCTGGAATCCGTTTCATCCACGAGCAGGGTATTGGCATGAAAATCAGGACCAATGTCTGAACGGTTTTCGAGGACTCCTTTACCGGACGAGATCGAATACCCGGTTGAATATGGCGGTCGCCAGCCTTGTCTACCTACCGACGAAGACGCTTCCTGTGTGGGATACTACTACTTGGAGATCTTGCCGGAAGAATACTTGAAGGTACTCGGGCGTGAGGGTCGCCTGCATGGCCAATCTGTTGAACAGAAGTTAGGTCGCCATCCCACTTCCACACGTGCCATCCATCGAAGCAGCCACATAGGGCAACGATGACTGTTCGCAGCATTCCCTACAGCGGAGCACTGTCATCCCCAAGGCTGCATTTCATTCAACTATCTTCAGGATGATGCTCCCCGTCTCCCGCTTCCTTATGCGAGAACGATCTGTTCCAGTAGAGAGGATAGATGAACGGTGGAGCGATATCCGAGGGCGTTGATTCTTTGGACGGAGAAGCGCCCAGCAAAATCGAATAATGCGCCCCTCTCTCTCACTCTTTGAACCTGAGCCGTGGGTCGACATTATCATGCCAGCCGGGGACCAAATTGTCGGTTTACTGGGAACCTTGCCAACGTTGTTCGGAGACTTTGAATCGCTCAATGGGTCGAATCTAAGAGGTTGTGCGGCGTCGTTGGATTCTTCTTGATGGCTAGAGACTATTTAGGGGTAGGGGAAAAGGGGGAATGTATTTGCAAGCGGTATATGTTCGTTCTATCAGAGTGCTTTCAAGAGATGTAAGACGGCGAGGAGTGTTGGTATTTGAAACCTGTCTATGGACACTTCGATTTTGTGGCCCGAGTCTTGTACAGGAAACATATCAAATAATATTCCACCACGCCGCAAAAGGAAATACTATCAATTCATGAACCCTCGCATTCATCGCATGAGCACGCAGTCCCACGGCCACCCTATCCGTCAGGTTTCCAACACTTCCAAACAGCTCCAAAAGTTTTACTTTCATTGCTCATATCCACCTCGCCCTTTTGCGACCCAAAGACCTGCTTTCCAATACAAAGCGAGGCGCCAGCACCCACATCCACCAGTGGAATCATACTCGGTCTCCCATGTGCGCATTGGAACGGGAAAGCACAATTCCCAAGCCGCCTAATAAGTGTTTGGCATTCTTCATTTGTTAACTCGTCATTGAACATGATAGCACTTCGGCAGGCCCGCGAGTTGAGCATGTCGAGCAGTCCCTGTGGACAGGTCTTGGTGGCTAGGAAGCCTCCTCCTCCTCCTTCTTCTTCGCACTTCCAAGATTCGCTCCTGATCAGTTCGATCAAGACCTTGGGCTCGAGTCTGCATCTCTCTGCGATTGCCGCTGGTAGTGCTTTCACGATGATCTTGCACTTTGGAGGTCGAGCTGGAGCGCTCAGGTCATAGACGACACCCAGGGCTGCGAAAGAAGAGGCAAGACGGGATAAGAGGCGGTGCTCGCGAGCTTGGATCTCGAAAATCAAGGGGTTTGGAAGTAACACTGGGCTTGCTTTCAGATCTGCTAGTAAGCCTTCAACTCGTATGCGCTCGTCCGCCGCGTGCTGGTCGACGAGGACTAGAAGCTCTGCGTCTTCTCTATCACCAATATTTGGTGACTTCTTCACGCAGATGAGGATGAATTTCTTATCGACTTGGGAAACGACCCTTGCCGCGTTCAAGCCCTGTTTTGATAGCTTCGCCGAGAAAGATGCGGATGACTGTGTGAATGCTTTCTGGATATCCAAATCAGAACAGCAATGACGGCGGCCATGTAGAACATCGGACGTCTCAATCACGGGGCCGTCGAACGAGACCTGAGGTATACACTCTTCTGTAATGTCGAAGATAGGGTTCTCCCATTTCTTGAGAAGCTCACTAGACCATGACCCTTCTTTGGGCGTGATGAAAGGGGTAGAGAAACTGCGAGTGTGTCTTCTGTTGGGATAAGAACCATGGATTTTCCTTCCATAGCAAAGAGATAAAGCTGGAGGCGAGTGTTCGGAAGGGGCTGATACCGGTCGTTTAAGGGGCCGAGGGGGAATCACCAGGCCTGTCCGGGCATTGATGAGAACTGTAGCCCCAGAGATTGGGTTTCTCCACTCAAATGTCTGCTCATCAACGTGGTTTCCAACTGGGTCATCCACCGCTGTGCTTGAGGCTTCCCAAATTTGAGAGGAGCCCATCGACTTTTTTGATAGATCCTTAGCTCTTGGAGGTTCGCCTTTTGGAGTGCTTGTATGACAGCCAGCGGAGCTTAACGATGGTGATGCACCCGAAGATTTTGACCCTATTCCGGTCTTGATTCGACTCCAAGCATTGAAGTTGTGGTCTGCATACGTACAATGTACTGCTTCTGATCGCTGGATAGTTGCACCTGAAAGTTGGCTACTCGGGCTTCTTCCCATGGCTGCTGGCTTCGTGGACACATCTTGCTTGCGATGGCCCAATCTTGCACGTGGTCTGAAGTGATTCTCTTCAAGGAAACTGGTGATCATGGCCCCAAGAACTTTGACCAGGCTTGAGATAGTCCCCTCCCCAAGCCTGTCCACACGGTCTTTGAGACGTATATTTGTATCATGTATATCGATACGAATGTAGAACATTGGCCATTTATCGACCCCTTTGCCGCCGCCTCTCAACTGCTTGTTGGTAAAGCCATCTTTCTTGAACCGGCGGTCTTTGATTTTTCTCGCTTTGATGTCGTCGTCAGCATCGGAGATATCCTCTTGGGTACCGAAACTTGATAAAGCAAAAAGCCTATTGATCTCGTCATAGAGAATGTTGCTACCCATTTTCGAGCTTATAGGACGAATTCCTATCGATACGAATTGGACTTGCTTCGATGGTGCTGGCTGTAGGGAGACGGCACCCTTAATGGTGACCCAAGGTGTCCGAGCAGAGGTCTTGACCCACATATCCCAGTCCAAGGGTGCAATGAAGCCAGCTTGAGATAGAATACTGCTTATCAACGGAACGTCAAGCTTCCTGGATGAGCTGTCTCCAGATATTGCACTGATTTTGGGCATCTCTTTACCGCGTATGTTCAGCTTTTTGCTACTCTCAGCGTTCTTCAACGTTACCGAAACTGGTTTTTGCCAGGCCAAAAGCATTCCAACGATTTGTTTTCTCAGCGTCTCGAGCTGCTTTTCGTCCTCACTTCTAAGCTCGGCGCCCATAGTGCGCTGCTTGACCCTAACAGGCATGTTCCCAAAAAGATCCTGGACGCTGACTTTGGTCCCATGCTCACGGTTGAATAGATGCTGATGTGATGGCGCTGGTATCAATCTTGCGGCTGGCCTTGAGTGATGAAGAATGAGCGTCGCATGCGGAAGGTGGCTCCTGTGATGGGACGTGATGCTTAGGATTGACAAAGCGGCTACAGAGGTCAGGAAGGTTCCGTTCCTCCCATGGGTAACATTCAGGCCATTGTTCTTGGATGTATCTGGACCACGTTAGCAAAGCCTCAACAAGGGATCAAGTGTCTAGCTCACGATACGGTTTCCCCAGGCCTCCATCTTCGCCAAATTCTCTGGGAGGTATCCCGTTCCCATCGTCTTCGACCGAAGCGGCACCCCGGCGCAAGTCGACATTGATATCGATTCGCTGAGCATCTGCATCCAGAGAATTGGCCAACAGCCCAAGGACAACGATCGAAAGAGAGGTTATGGTAGTGGAGGATTCGATCTGAGCGGCGACCTCTGGGGGCAAGGGCAAAATTGAAGGTGTTGTGTTCGGCATTGGAGTTGGAATACTCGATTCCGACATCCTGAAGATATGATACCTTTGAGCATCTAGTTCCCCATCTAAATTCAAATGGGAGCCTTCCGTGATTCACCTCATGGTGGGTGCCACTTCCCCATCATGCAGCTCCCAGAGACCAGCAGGTGCATCTGTAGTGGTATCGTGGGCAACCTGGGCTACAACTTGTGCAATGTTTTTGGTCTCTGAGAAGTGTATTAGGCTTCCTGGAGTACCAAGTGTGCAGAGCGACAGGCAGTCTGTTACGTCCGAGCCATTGTTGGAACAGGCAGTAATGTCACAAGCCAAAGCGGTAGCTGATAGCAGCAGTAGGGAGGCTTGGCGTCAGCCCTATAGAGTGTGAGAGAGCACCTTCCGCCCATCACAACTTCTTCGCTCATAATTTGGTACATCTTATCATTTACCTACTGGCTTTCTTCCCGTCAATCAGAGCTTGCCCGACCATACACTCAACTGTATCACTCCTGTAGCTCGTTCTCGAGCAGTCACGGTCTTTACCCTACTTAGCTACAATGGCGACGGCAGAACCGGCCCCAAGACCACAAGGTGAGTCTACAACATCTCCTCAGCTTTGCAAAGCTGGAGTGCTTCTTTAAGGCACAGTCCGGCCACCGAATCTCCTTGTTGCTGACGCCCTCCTCAGACAGGCATTCTCGCCGGCGTCCATTCTCGAGTTGGATGAAGCGCCTTGCAAGCCTTAAGCACCCGTCTTCCGATTCAACTCCAAGCGGAACAGGCAAACGAAATCAGCCATTATCCTATACTAAAAACAAGAAAGCCAATGCGGTCAAGAACAATCCTTATTCTATCTCTGACCAACCAAACCTTGATACCTCGATACCCAACAGCGGCAATGGTCATCTTTCCTTCTACACTCCGCCATCAGGAAGAAGCATTAGCTATGTTTCTCCCACGCATAGCAAAATGTCTCTTCCAATCTCACATGACGGTCAACAGCCTCCAACAATCAGCAATCAGTCTACTGCACCGACGTTGTCCACCAGTCCTGACACTGTCTCCGATGCGGCACCATCAAAAGCTGGGACTACAGCCACTGTAGGTGGAGCAGTGAGCTCTAATGGCGTTGGTGGGGGCGAAGGCAGTACATTTTCCTCGCCCGCGCCGTCAGTCAGATCAATGACTACAACGTTGACCACAATGCAATCAACTGCACCCTCCAACCTTCTAGCTGGTCAAAACAATCAAGGTGGCCAAACTGCCTTGGCCGTTCCCCAATCATCTTACGGTCACCAAAACTCTAACGCTCAATTCTCTCATCAATTTCCATCATCTCCGCAACCGGCCTCTGCCATTCCTCCCCATCTTGTGAACCTTAGTGCTGGCGGGCACCCAGCGACGTATAATACTGCCACGGCAAATAACGTCCTTACCGACAATGCTTCAATCATGACCCTTGCTTCATCTTCGAAGCGCCGACGCCGCAATTCAGTCGATACAAATGCTTCTGTGCGCGCTCTGGCCCCATCATCATTGTTTGGCGGCAGCAGAGAATCACTACCACTCAGTGTTCTCAGCTCCAACGTCAATGATCAATCAAGTATCTCAGGTCATCATCAAGGTCGTCAAGTCAGTGTTGGACTTGCAAACGCTGAGAGGGCAAGCGTATATTCCTCTTCCGGCATTGCACCGGCGTTGCCGAGCGAGCGGAACAGCTACTATGCCGGAAAGCAGAACAATCCTGGAGATGGAGGTAGTGTCAGGAGCGGGCTTGTCAGCCATGGGAGGAATGATAGCATTACCAGGAGCATCGGCGGACTTGCAAATGTTGACAGCCCACTTGCCAGTCCAAGAGAAGTGCCATTGCAGGGCAGGATTAGCAGGAGGAATTCAGGTTGGGGAGAGGTCAACGAAGAAGACATGGATGCGGATGATAATGACCGAAGCTTGACTGGAAAAAAGCTTGAAGATTAGCTCCGTTGGCATACAAGAGAATAAGGGAAAGCATGGGACTATCAACGGTCATACAGTGGACACATGAAAAAGGAGGTTTAGGGGCTTCACAGGCGGTAATGGTTACTGGCGTTGGATGGACACATTGTGGCTACCTCGAAGGCGCTTTCTACATCCTACTATACCCAGCGCTCGCAAGGCGCATGCATATGTTGCTCGTTGTCCCTTTTCAGGGTTAAATACAGCATTGGTAATTGGATCCGTCCGGCTCTCTGCCATCACTGGCAACGATAATACACACCACCTTTTAGATGTGCCTTAACTTTGAGTATGACTATCTAGACTTTTATTATTCAGCTGTGATTTGCAGGTCTCGTGCTAATGAGCGAGCCCGCACGAAAGAGTATTGTGAACAATCGTTAACACCTGGGTTGTTTGGATCATCTCGTAGGAAAAGTATCTTTGCCCTCCAAACCAATGAGCGAAGAACTGAATGTCAAGCTTTTGGGGCAAGCGCGATAGCCGGCGGGAACCACTGTCATGGAACACATTGATCAGCTAGAGGATAGAAAATCTTAAGAAGCGTTGAGCTCTACTGGCAATCCCAAATGTTGCTATTGTTCTGCACAATTGTTCACGATCATGACAGCGAATCACGCTGCCAAGAGAGAAGCAAATGCCAAAGAGGCATCTTTATCCCCGCCTCCCTTGAAGAAGCGTAAAGTCGAGTCCACCACCACAAGTAGGTGGGTGATCCCGTTCTCAGTGAACTAACTGATGGGCGTCGATCCTCAGAGAGAGCCGTATCCAGCTTCTTCACCCCGGCATCAAAGAAAGAACCAGAAAGAATCACCTGGCGAATCATCAACGAAAGTCTGCTTTTTGCTAGTCATCAACCTGATACTGCTGATACGAGAAACCGGCCACGTTCGAAGAGACCAAAGATTGCAGCATTTGATCTTGTGAGCATGTATAATGCCAAGTCTCTCCTACCACGATTAAGCTGAAACACGACCTGTCTCGTCTAGGATTCTACGCTAATCAAAACATCTTCTGGCAATGTTTTCGCCAAAGATGCCACAGACTGGCGGTGGTGGCATTTCAGTATTCCCAGCGTCCTCAAGGATCTTCATGCGGATGGGTATGTGCCCTTCCAAAGAGCTCGAACATCTTGATCGCTGTTACACATGTCCACGTCTGCTGATCAGCCTACGCTGTCCAGGTACGCCATAGTGATTCTAACCAATCAGGGCAGTATCAGTTTGCGTAATGACCCGAAGAAGATCAAGAGCGATCAGAGAAGCCTTGCAAACTTCAAAACAAAGGTCGCCTCCGTCCTCAGCCACTTCGACTTCCCAATCCTTCTCCTGGCTGCTACTGCTCGTGACTGTTATCGGAAGCCACGGATCGGAGCGTGGAAGGAGCTCCTAGATAATTTGGATCTCGACGAGGGTAATGGTCCAGTCTTGCAGTCCTCATTTTTTGTTGGTGATGCTGGCGGCCGCGCAGCCAGGACCAACGCGAAAGCAGATCATGCATGCTCAGACAGGTAGGCCTCGATATGAATATTTAGGCTATCTATGTGTGTGCTCAATACCTTTAGGGACTTCGCTTCCAATGTTGGGATCACTTTCCACACGCCTGAAGAGTACTTTCTCCACGAAGAACCTGTTCCGTTCACAAGGTCCTTCGAGCCACGTACAATTCTCAACTGCAGCTCTAGCACCTCAACGCATGCGAGTACGTCATTCTTTTCAACTTGCGTGCCCGGCGATGACTGACCTACGTAAGCTCCAGTGATCATTGGCAGAAGGAATCGATTGGATATAGTCCTTATGTGCGGTAGTCCCGGGTCTGGCAAGTCGACGTTCTACTGGACGAAGTTGAAAACGCTTGGCTACGAACGCATCAATCAGGATACGTTAAAAACCGTGAGTACAGGTTGATTGCGCAATCTTTCGATTTGATACTAATGCACGACCGACAGCGGGACAAGTGTGTAAAGGTAGCATCGGGAATGCTCGCTGAAAGCAAGTCCGTAGCCATTGGTACGCTTCCAGCGAACCTCAGATCCGGGAACTTGGAAGGACTAATCTTGGAGCACCTAGACAATACCAACGCAGATGAAGAGTCTCGTGCAGTTTGGGTGCAGCTTGCTCATAAGTTCGCCGTGCCTATTCGTTGCGTTCACTTTCCAGCTCCTGCCAAACTGTGCCAGCACAACGACACGGTCAGAGCACTCTCGACCGGCACATTCAATCCGGAGAAAAGAAGTATCCTTCCACATTCGGCCTTTACGGGGTTCGCTTCTCGATTCACGGAGCCACAGCTCCGGGAAGGCTTTCAGGACGTTATCAAGGTTGAATTCCAGGTAGCACACCGTTCGGGTAATCTCGTCTTGGCAACATTGAGATGGGCTAACGTTTCTTTTGTTGATCCGTAGTTCCAGGGTGACGAGGAGCAGCGCCGAGTATGGAGCCAATATTGGGTTTGAAGTTGTGCCAAAAATGGGGATTTAGCTTAGGCTTAGATAGGTATTCTACTTATGGATGGGGGAAGCATGGGAGAAGTGGCGGAGTTGCTCGTTTCCCGTATGGAGGGGCACGAATGCAGGGTTGAGATTGACAGCATTGGGCTGCAGGTCTGAGTGAGGCAAACAGCCGACGGAGAGCAGCAGACTGTGGGGATAGTTGTCCAAGTAGGCGTGAATGGCGCGGGTGATGTGTGGGCTAGAGTCTAGAGAGAGGAAACTGCTTGCCAGTGCTGCAACGAGCAAAGGATAAGCTTTCTGCCCTACATGATCAACATCTTTCAACTACCTACATCTCGCAGTTGAAGATAGACTTGAGACGCATAGCAGCGAGAGAAGCACGCGATCTTTTTCTCCAAGCAACGGTTCCGACATGAGTTCTAGGCTGGCCACAAGACTGTGCAATCATGGTACGGTAATTATGGAAGTCAAAGCGCTCTGTCCACTTTCCCTGTCGAAGAAGAAGCAATGGATGGTCATGGCATGAATTGAAAGGAATCCGACCGCCATGATGAAAAGAGCATCATTTCTTCGTATG